ATTATTAAGAATAACAGCCTAATTCATAAATAATTATAGAAGGTTTATAAAACTGTTTATTAAAAATGTTATTCATAAATGTTATTTAACAGTGTTATAATGCATTATAAGAATTTTTTATGAATTTGACTGTAAGTACTGAAAAATTACGAAAAATGTGCTTTGATATAGCACGTATATGCTTTTTTACAGGATTTAACTATTTTAATGAATGTATGAAAAGCATTGAGCCTTAGTGTTACTTTTATATTATTCCCAAATATTATATTACCTAGAAAATTAGTATCTACCTCTACCATATTTTTTTGTACAAAAAATACAAAATTGAAGTAAGTTAATATTTCTCTAATCAATTATAAGTAACACATAAAATCAAATTAAACTGCTGCCCTCAAGTAATTCCAAAAAAAAATATCCTCGACTTCATATTTTTTGCAGTTTTTATCTATTTTAAATGTGAAATTCTAAAATTGTGATATGTTGCCGATGAGATAATTAATGTAATGACATGTATCTGACATTTTACTGACATATAATTGAAAATAAAAAAAACTTCGTTTAGAAAACAGAAGGAAAGTTCGCACCTCATCGTAAATTGCAAATTCGTGTTATTTCAATTTTAATTTTCGAAATTACTAATGTCAATTTAATAGATAAAATTTATGATTGAATGACGGCACAAAAGTGATAATGCCTAAAAACGCACGCCGTTCCGACTGAATGTATCTGACAAAAATATTTGTCAACGAAAAACATTCAATTTAACAATTCTTTCGGCTCTTCAATGGTCTTTTTTTTTTTTTGATTATTTTAAGCGGATACGAGAAAATAATTTTCATTTTTATAAAATGAAATAAATTGCACAAAATGCAAATTTTAAAAATACATTTTTATGCATTTTATATAAATTAATTCTTTTTTCTTATATGTGGCGTGAGGGGTTGTCAACAACATAAAAATTATTTAAGAAAAAACCGTGGAAACAGACACGAATTAACAATGGACAAATGAGAGTTTTAAGCAGAAATAATTAAAATTAAGTGAAGCAAAAGCACTTTTATCTTTTATACTTTAAGTGTGTGATGTATGTAATGTATGTACATATTTACAAACAAACCGCTATGTTGTGTTCTTAACCTTTTAAGCTCAGCTTACATAAATTTTAAAATTTATTTTTTTCTTCTTACTTTTTGATATTTTTTGCCCGCATCTGAAACTGTCTTTTTCGGCTTGGATGTTTTTGAAGCATTACATGAAGTTCAATCTCCACAAACATACAGACACATATTTACATATATACCACTGTCGACATTTGTTAAAATACCGCGCATTTATTCTTAGAACTGCAACTATGTTAACTATTTTAATCAAAATTACAGCTGCCCATTGTTACGGCCTTTATGTAACTGACATTAATACAGGTAGATGGATAGATGGATGTTCACACTAATATATAATACAATACTGTACACAACATTCGTATCTATAAAAAAGGTATTGTCTTTATTGTTGTGTATGCAGAATAAGCTTAAAAAAATAAGTTGAAAAAATATATAAACAATTGTGTTTATTTTTATACAAGTGTTGCTGATGACAACGGTGATGGCGATGATGATGATGATGATGATGATGATGATGATGATGATGATGATGGTGATGATATTACAATTATATACTCAACAATGAAACTGGAATTCTAGATACCCACTTGTTAATCCCGTATATTCCGCATAAATACAGACATCATACACAAGTGCACAAGCATAAATGCCGGCTGACATTTCAGTCAAGAGAACGACAGATACAAATTATGGCCAAACAAAAGTTGTTAAGCAAATAACAAGCTTACAATATCAGTAAATAGTATCTACACCCGTGAAGAGCCAAACAAGACATCAACTACCAGCATTGAAATTAAAATTAAAAACAATAACAACACAGGCGACAATAACAGCAACAGCAACAAAAACAGCAACAGCAACAATAACAAACTCAAATAATTTTTGTTTTTTTTTTTTGTGTAATTTAAATCACAAAATAAAGCAACAAATCGAAGAGTATCTTTTTGTTCTGAATTTGCTTTGGAATTCCATATCAACGGTGTAGATAAGGACCTTTCGCTTTTCTATGCTGTAAATTGATGCGTAACTTTGTTTACACACTTCTGCCCTCCTTCAAGTTCAAGTACGTGAAATTGTACTTATTTCGCATGTCCCAGCTTAATGTTGTTACCACTGATGACAACTTCACGGCACAGGGTCACACTACAATCTTGTGTAGGGTTGTTTAAATCTCAATATTTATAGATTAAGAAAACTATTAGATTAAGAAAACCTGGAAAAATCTAGTAAAATAACATCGTTCTTGCAGAGATGAGAGGAAAGCCGCATACCAAGGGAAGTGCCTAGCGCTGATGCACAAGCGAAAGAAACAACTAGAAGAGTATTAAGTGGAACATAGGGATTCAAGAGTAAGAAAGATAGACCATATACTGTCTTTCATTACAGAAATTGGACTAGGAAAAACACACTAATCCAACAAAGGACCGCAATAGATCTGCTAGGTCGCAGTGTACTATCTTTCGTTCTTATAATACTAGTTCTTAAAATAAGCAGACTGTCAGGTGAATGCCGACAGTATTTGGTATTATTAATATTTGTTGGGTTCGAATATTGTTCACGATACTGCAGTTGTTAATAATCTATCTTCCAACTGTTCAAAAATGGAACTAATACGAAAAATGTTGAATATCATATCTGATTTAATGAATTCCCAATATTTGTAATGAGAGTGTCGACTCCTTATATAAATTTGGTACACCCAGACAAGCAGCAACTATGATGATGTTTAGCAGTTACATTTCGCTTATGTTGAACAATACTTTTTTCTCCGTAATGTATTTAGAATGTGCATTAAATTATTTGAAATATTTAATTATTATTCAAACATCAATTGAATCATATAAATCCAACTGCAAATATATACTTTATATTGGTTTGCACACTTTAAACTACGAAATATATAAACCAAACGCAATATCTAGCAAATCTCAGAGAAAATTAACTAGTGTACCATCTATTCCATCTACTCAGTATATTAGTACTCATTATATTAGTACTCAGTATATTAATACTCAGTACACATTTTTAATATGTGATGCTAACTATGATGATATTAAATCCCGTAGACCGTCACGTCAAATATTGACCAGCATTGTGCACGTAACTATTCCACAATTAGATGAACTAACTCAGAGATCCACACTTCATTGAACACCAGGTGTCACTCACCAATTGAATTAGCAATAGACTCTAATAAAATAAGCTTCTTAGTAATTGTAAAATCACTTGATCTACAATATGAAATACACGATAGAAAGCCAATGCAACTGATAGTTGATCAAATATAGAAGTACGTTTTAAGTCAGACCAGTATTACTTATAATCTGGCTAAACTATATATTCATAAGGTGCCATAATGAATGGACAATTGAATATCAAATCATGCCTACAATGCGTGATTGGATAAGAATTGAATATTATCCATGATTGGATCATAATTGGATAATACTCATAATTGAATAATATCCATGATTGGATTATATTAACGATTGTATAATATCCATGATTGGATAATATCTAAGATTGCAACGTAATTAGATAATATCCATGCTTGGATCATTATTGGATAATATCCATGATTGGATAATAGGCATACGTTTTAATTAGACGAGTATTTTAGGAGATCTGGTTAAGAACCAAATCTTCGTTAGGTGTTATAACAAATGGAAAACTAAAAATCCAATAACTCGTAATCTTCAATTAGGTAACGTTGTTTCTTTTGTCTAAACTAAAAATGAGTTTTAAAAAATTGCTTAGAAGGCTCGGCAGGAATTTGATAAGAATCAAACTTATAAATACTTAGTTGAGTTTTATTTTAGTGCTACTTTTCTTAATACTAATCAAAGAAGACAATAAACAGTAATCTCTATACTCAAATGGTTAGTAACCCTGAGCATTGTCCGATAAAAGTACTTAGTCTAATGTGGGAGATATGAGGGATATGCTCCTGCTAATTATAATATAGTTGGTTAGTAGTTGTAATAAGACAATCGTCTGAATATCTTAGATGCATTTACTCATCCCAAAGACATTATATGTATTTAATTATACATTTTTATTTTAATTAAATTTAAATATTTGTTATTTAGAAACTAGTTAATTTCTTTTTTTGCATTGAAAGCTTATAGAATTTATACCAAATATTCTGATTTCGAAATGCTTATTCGCCATTAAATAAAATGTTTGTTAATAAAATGTAAATATCAAATGAATTATTTAAGAACATAAAAAATATAAAAAAAATACTTTAAACGAAAATTTTTAATTGAAATTAACAATATTTTTTTTTTTTTGTTTAATTTATTTTCATTATTAGTCTTTGATTTATCGCTGTTAATTACCATTGAATTCATGTGAATTACCCTTTGCTACTTAAATATCTTTTATTAATACTAATTAATAAAAAGAACCTGTAAGGCGATATGCAAATGCCTCCCAACACTTAACCTTTTAATTGTTAGAACGAAGAATAAATTTATTCAAATTATATGTGAGTGTATCTTCAGCGGAGCGGCGCGTCTAGGTTGTTCACTGAAGTGTTAAGTAGTGAATCTCTGTCCAAAGGCTGGTGCTTCATAATGACAAGTTGAAGCTGTTTAAGCGTGAATTTGCTTGATTAGCTACATCAGACTTTAATGGTAATTATCGACAAACTTGTTCTAGGTTGAGGCGATAATTCTCTGAAAATGTTAATGGATATTTTTTTCCTTGACGTATTCTAAAGAGGCTTTAAGTCATTAGAAATAAATAATTAATTCAAATGCTTTAAAATATTCAAATACACATTCTTTCACAAGATCTTTCATATATTTTATTTTTTGAATTAATTAAACACTTTAATTTAATTTAAAATTTATTTATATTTTCTTCTACTTTCAGTTTAAAAACAGTAATCGAAACAAACGTGGCAGCCCTACAATTGTCGAAGAATTTAAATGAGTATCAAAAGCGATACTACGAAACTTTAACAAAAGCGTACACCCACACCCACACGCATATACACATACATATACACATTCATAAACATTAACAAAATGCAGATAGTACAAGGCTTATTTCGCGTAATATTGGCACTTCAAGTTTTGTCACTTGACGTGCTGCCCAACATTAATGCGCTGCCCATCACATCGAAGCCCATCGAGAGTACTGCCGAAAATCTCGCTTGGCAGGCCTGGCTCATGTTGCCGCCGGAGCAAAAAAACTTGGAAAAATCACGTAAAGTAACACCGAAGTCAATATTCTTGCTGCCAAATCGTGCAGATTGCCCAGCGGGGCAGCACTTATACAAAGGGCAATGTATACCAACAGTGACAATTGATCCAACTGAACTCTTAACGCAGCAGTTGTTGGGCTTTGTCGTTGGAGATGCCAATGCAAACAATAACTATGAGTTCGACTACGATGATGAGGAGTATGATTCGGCACAGAAATTCACTGGCGAAGAGAAAGATGTGATCATGCCGGCTGATGTCGGACACTATGATGATGCATCACAATTACCTCGCCGTGATGAACCATTGAAATTTAATATATTTCAACAAAAATTTCCAACCATTGACTATGAAGGAGAAAGTATGCAAAACGAAGATGCAAATAATAATACAATAGCCAGCAACAACACCATGCTAGCCTTGAATAGCACACAATTCATGGATGCAGTTAATCTACTGCTACAACGTCAAGCCAACGCCACAAATGCAGGTAATAATAGCATCGGTGACTTACAAGCTGACAGCACAAATAATATATCTACTATAATAATGAGTAGGCCAGAGAGCAAAGTAACTACGTCTGCGCATCCAGCACACACTGAACGTACCAAAGATACTGAACATACTTACTCACTGAGCGATATTGATGCAATTGTGTTGCCAGCTGTGACGATAACAAATCCTGCTGATAGTGACCTTGAAAACCAAAAACCACATAAAATATCGTTGTTCAAGGATGAAAGCACCGTTCAACTGATCACAGCTGGACTACATTCAGAACAAAATTATGATGAACGTGACAGAGCACAGATGGATATATCACAATTGCTCAAGGCTGAGGCCTTAATGCCGTTACACAATGTTACACAACAACCTGCAGAGGTGGCAAATGCCACCACAGCTACCACGATTACCGCTGACGGCAATGCCAATGGAATTGGTAATAGTGCCACAGATACAAGGTCAACATCAATGGCTGCAGCATTGGTTATGAGTGAAAAACACAGCAAAACGCGAAAAGTAACCCCGCTGTTAGCACAAATTGCCAAAGCTGACGATGTTGTTGTTGATGAAGACGATAATGATGATTATGAGGTGACAAGTATGTCAAACCTTGATGCATATGAAGATGCAGATGAAGTGGAAATGACAACAATAATACCAGCGCAACTCAGTGAAATACTTGAAGAAGTAGAAAAAAAGCAGGCAGAGAAAACAGCACTTCAGAAATTAAGTGCAAAAACTGAACACACTCGTAGTGTAACGATGCGAAGTGCTGGTATAGATGGTACGGATTTAGAAACACCAACAGAGAGTGATGAAATTGCAAAAATGACATTTGCTGAGGGGCAACGCAGTAATGTTGAGGACTCTGATGCTGAAAATGATGCTGAAAATGATGCTGTAAATGATGCTTTCACAACCACTTCAGAACCTGAAGCTATTATGACAACAGATATTAACACCAATAACAGCAACAACTTTGAGTTGGATGAAACCACCGTCATTGAAAAAGTTGATCCACCCGCAATCGAATTACAAGAGTTGCTTGAGTTACAACGTCAAGCACTGGCAGCAATACCACCACATAAACTACAAAAAAATCAGCATGAAAATCATGTTGTGCTCAAGAAATCGAAAGTGGAACCGGTTGGATTTATTGCGGGCACAGCCACAGCCACAGCCACAGCTACAGCAACACGTACGGCAATTAAAGAAACAGCAAGAGCAGAAAATGCCACAACAACTGAAAATACAATAACAAAAACGTCAACAACATCAATAATAATTCCAAGCCAAGCACAAGCGACACCGTTACCCAGTGCTCCATCCCATAGCAGTGAAGCAACAACAACGAAGCAAACTCAGAGTGACCGGTTTCATTATCAACATATGATTGGGGACAGCGCTGTTACTGCCGGTAATGTCGTTGCTGATATTGATGCTGTTACTGGTGCTGATGCTGGTGCTGCTGCTGTTGCTGAAGATGCTAATCAACGTATTAATAAGTTTGGTGAGAAAATTAAAACTAGCGTTGGCAGCGGTAGAGTTGGCGGCAATAAGATTGCGATGCCAGTCGAGCACAGAAAAAGTGTAAATGATAAAGCAGCAAGTGAAATTAATATTGAACAAGAATTGCGCATTATTAATGAGCTGGTGAAGGGCAAAAGACAACTGACAGCTAAACTGGGAACAACAACAATAAAGACAACGACAACAACAGCAGCAGCAACCACCACAGCAAATGCAGAAAGTGGTTCCAGCACTGAAAATAATAAAGTAAAATCAACTTCTACTTTTGCCAACTCGCCGGAATTAAAAAATCCAACGAGATCCGCTTTGGCAGTGAATAAAGAAACTTCAACTGGAAATGTTGTTCATACCACAAATGCCAAATTGGCAGGAATTGTGGAAAATAGCAACGTTGCCGAAGCTACAACAACAACAACAACCAGCAGCAGCATAAATGCGGAACCAACACTTGTTACGCTATGGTCAAAAATTATGCCTATTTTAGGTTTTGGTGCTGAAGAAACATTATCAACAACAACGACAACAACAACTCCACCACCAACAACAACAAAAACAACAAATGTAGAACTTAGTAACAGCAATTTACTTAGTATTAACAGCAATCGTAATCTTAGAAATAGTAAAATACGCAGAATAACAAGTTCAGGCTCAAGTCCGAATAGTATCAGTGCCGGCAGTCGACCAGTGCCTATCGCAACTGATAGCCTAGCAGTATTAGCTAAAGTAACAACAGCAGATATGCAGACTACAAAGAGCACAGAAAGTAAAGAAAGTGCCGAAAGTATGGAGAGTACGGAAAGTACTTTCATTAGCAGCACAACCAGCCCTTCCATTACAACAACAACAGAATATGAGCCATTTTGGTGGTTACCGGTTGGCTGGCGTTTAGATAGTACGCCCGAAACAAATGAGCAGCCATTATTGCTGCGTTTCTGGTCAGCATTTCCGGGTAATCAAGCCAAAGTCAAAGAGTAGCTTAAGTAACAGTTGTAGTTTTAATTCTGATATTCTTTCCTGAATTTTTTTTAAAAAAAATATTATATATAATTTTTTTTATCGAAGAGCACTCGTACAAAATCAAAAGAAAAGAATAGAAAAGAATCGAAATAAGAAGAATAAAGTTCTTGCAGAATGCGAAGAACATAGAAAAATTGTGTAGGAAGTGGTAGGTTATTGTGGGGAATAAACAGGAAGTGAGGAAGTGAGTAGACTCGAGCACCTAATACGTTTCTGTAATTTAGACTAAATGTAATACAAATCTAAGTGAAATGTTCTAAGTTAGTGTGCTGATTTAGTTGGCGGTAGATAGTAGGCTGTTGGCGGTAGGCGGTAGGCGTGTGCAACTCTTGTGGGCTTTTGTCTTTAAAGCGCAAAAATGATTGTTTCACAAAAATTTTTTCTTAGTTGTAAAAATGTACGCATTTGAGATTTGCTTATCAGCAGAGCAAACCAAAAAAAAAATTTTTTTTTTATTATATACAAAAATGAGGCAACCGATTTATACATTCGAAAAAATATCTATAGGTATGCAGTCATGTAGGTTGTTGGAACAGTTGGGGCTTTGAGAGAACCAAACAAATACGTTCAGTAATAAATAATTACCCATACAAAGAGTTGCTGATAAAAATTTTTCCAAAAATTTTTAATGTTGTTATTGTTTTTGATTATTTTTTAAGTAGGGGCAGGGCGGGTATTTTTAATTTAATATAATTACGAAATATATGTGCATGTATATTATTTTGCAAATATGGTATGTGTATGTCTAGTGCCGCCTGAACTTGCACACGGCACTACACTACAATGAATATTATTATTTTTATTATTATTATTAATATTATGTTTATAATTATACGAAAGATGTAAATTTTTCTGATTTTTGAATTGGTCAGGAAATACGCTTTTGCGTTCGCTTTATTTTTTAAGCTCGCATTTTAATGTAAAAAGCAAATATTATAGTACTTGTAAAATTAACAAAAACAAACAAAAACAAAAATATTAAAATTTAAATAAAATAAAACTAAAATAAAACTAAAATAAAAATAAAAATAAAATATATAGAGAAAGAATATAGTTTAGTTAGGAGATACGCGAAACCAGTAGCAATATTTTTTGTGATTATTAAAATTGTGTAAAAACTATATATAAATAATTGTAGGGACTACTTTTAAATACTAAATCTGTAAACTTATATGTACGTAAATGTAACTAAAACTGTTAAATTGTAAATTGTTTTATATAAAATGCTTAGAAGAGTTATATTCACATTTGTTTATACACACATTTTTACGGGTATATACAAATTGTAATTTAATTTATATAAAACTTTTATATTTGCTTAAAGAAAAACTAAAACAAAACGAAATTTATTATATTTTTAAGTGATAAGTTATTTCAATGTTTTAATGTACAAATTATAGCAGTTTGCATGCATTTTTATTTAAACAAAATATTAAAATTTATTTAAGCTACTATTTTCCTGCATGTTTATAAAGAAAAATTTGTAAAATAACAAAAAGGCACCAAACATTTTAAAGGTTTTCTCGATTTGATAAAATAATAAAACTTAATTGCCTCAAAAAATATTTAACACAAAACGTAAAATTGTTTTATTTCAATAATTATTAAAATTTAATTTTATAATAACATTAGTTTAGGTTATACCGGCGATCCACTTAGTCCTATTGGCCCGTTGTGCACCTATAATAACATTAAATAAACAATCAATTTTACATACCCAATTAGCTGACAGATAATTCTCCATCAATAAGGACGATATTGAATCAATAAAATGAAAAAGCCACAGATCTCTATAATGTTAGAGAAGTTTATTTATATAATTAGATATTCAATATATACTCGGAGACTACTTTCAAAGACGCACTACACAGCGGATGAAATTATGGTTGACGGGGTACTCATAAACAATTTGAGGTACGCCAATGATGCAGTGTTTATTGCCGATTTAATAAAGGCCTTACAGAATCAAAGAATACAGTTTAAAATTAAATTGCAGTGAAACCCATTATATAGTGGTGAGTAAATGATTAATTTCTGAAGAAATTATGGCTCAACTATAAAATGAACCGATAAGTTCAACTACTTAGGATGGCAGCTTGATGAGGAACAATGGGAAAACAGTAAAGAAATACGCGTCTGAATTGAAGAAGCAAGGTCTTCATTTATCAACATAAAAAACTTGCTGTGTTCAATTATGTTAGCCAACGTTCGAAACAGACAAGGCACCTACAAGATGTAGATATATATGTATAATATTGTGTTAGGAACTACAAGATAATACAAGAAGAGCCTGATATAATACAAATCTAATGTCATAGTTTGATTAAGCAAAATTTTTAAAGTGTTATGTGTTTCTGATAAAATATGTTATCATAACTGTGATAGTCCTCCTCGCGAAAAAACTATTACAAATATAATATATAAAGAAGCTTTTATCATTTTTCTAAGACAAAACTGTCACAATCTAACTGTCAATTCGCAAATTCAATAGAAATGCTTTCCTTGTATTAGACATAAGCTAGTAAAAATTTGTTGTAAAAATGATGTATTGCGATTGTGTTACTTAAGTAGATGGATACTACCCTCTGCTTTCGTCAGTTTTTCAGTAATTAGTGAAAAACACTTTCACTATGTGTTACTTCCTGGCTAACATTGCAAACATATAATGAAACCAGATCTTGTGAACTCACTAGAATTGACCGTGTGTATGCTGCAAGACTTACTGAAGTTCTCTTCGACCACTGGTGTGTAGGAATGCATGCAGAGAAACTTAGTCAACTTTATAAATCTTACTGTAGAGGTGGTGAAAACTAATAAGATCAGTATTTCCCTTGATACCGAACTCTGGCGTTCAGGAGAAATATTGGTAAGGACTATTCATTAGTAAAAAATTATCTAAATTCGACAGGATGGATTATCTATTAAAAAGTTGTGACATTTAGATTATCCAAATAGTTAGCATAATATTCATTGGAAAGGAATAAAGAACTAATTAATTATCTAAATTCCTAAGGATGGATTCAGTTTGTAACTTTTTATATCTAAAAGGTGTGATAATAAAAATGCTAGTAGAAAATTATCTGCTAACCTACTAGTACAATCAATTTTAAAATCAATTTACAAAGTATGTATATATTACCATATAACGATATAAACTCTGACATCAATCTGGAAATTTTATTGTACCTCAAAATATAAACCTAGAGATACGTTATTAGTTTATAATGAAAAAGAGAAAGCGGAAATTTGATTTAATTTTATTTTTGTAATATCCAAATGAAAATAACTTGCTGATGGGGATTTTACTGAATTCTTCGAAACAAACGCTTTATATGTTAAGTGATTCACTGATAAAAAAATAACAAAGATTTTATTAATAAATATAAATGTTACTGGTTTTATTCATTCTTCATTCACACTAATTTTAAATTTAGCAATAATTTTAATATTACTTAATAAATTCACCGGCGATTAAGTTCTTTTAATTTAAATAAAATGAAAATAGATTTGTTTTTGGTTCAACGTTCGTTGTCGTATATTCAAGCTCTACTCTTATAAAAGTTCTATTTTTCCTTAAAAATTCTTAGAATGAGAAATTTTTTTATTAACAACTATATTATCTTCAATATAGTTTTCATACTGAATTCTATACCTAGTAAAATGAGAATTTTCTATGTATGCATCTATCACTTGAAAATGCTTATTTAAAACAAGAAATTTAGATTTATTGTATTACAAAAAAAAAGCAAATAGAATCAAATCATGAGAGTTCGTTATCTTTCTAATACTATATAAGAAGTATTTAAACAAATTTCAATAAAATGTATGCATATATGGATCAGATCATACAAATCTACAATCAATCCACAAATTGTTCAACAACTCTACACATTTGCTTTAATAAATTTCTCTAAAAATCTTCTCATTCAGTTTTTAAGTCTTTTTGATTTTATGTGATAAGATTGTGTCTTTCAGTACCCACTGAAGAAGAGGTTCGCAAAGTTATTTAGACTACCATCTACTTTGAAAATCGATTATTTTTCAGCGTTCCCCTCTTTATAATTTTCATTATCACATCTTATAAATAACAATCGGTATTATTGTTGAGATATAATAGAGCTGAGCTAAAATTTATAGACTTGAGATACCGTGGAGTAGATACAAAATCATCGCAAAAATCTCTCGGCTCACAGTATTGTATGATGTCTTGAGAAGTATTTTTAAATGATATTGTATTTTGTATCAAATGGTAAAGTCAAGCAATTTCTATAACGACAAGTCACATGTGATCAATAGGTACAATATAATTTATATTGCATAATTAAAAAGAAATAGATTATCAAAATTAACACAGTAGTAGTACCCTCTATTCTCTCATAAAAATAAAGAAGAACAAAAACAAAAAGGATTACTGGGATAATATACCATTAATCCTGGTATATTATAATTCAAATAACTCATTTGTAACTATAACAATAAGAGATATTAGGATTATGTGGACATTTCAAAAAAAAAGGCTTAGAATCATTACAGGAATCTTAACAGGACATTGTGAACTAAAATATGAACTGACGAGATCGGGTATATATACGGATGCAAAATGTAGATATTGCGAAGAAAATGAAGAGTTAGCCACACATGTGCTGTAAAAATGCCCTGTGCTAATAAACATATGAAATAGAATCTTGAGAATGTCTTCTCTGACGGAAAAGGCATTAAAACTCCGTAAAGTACGTTCTACCTATAATTCTTTTTATCGACGCCATAGGGCTTAGAGACTTACTCTAAACATAGAAGGGGACACAATAGGTCAGACGATCGCAGTGCCACATCCCATTACAACAATAATAAGATAAACAATAAATTTTATAGAGTATAATTGAGTTTATAAAATCTTTTCATATGAGACTTCCTTATGTCAGTGAAGTAGTTGGTGCGTTAAGGAGTACAGTGAACGCAGCTGTGTCTTATGTACCAGATGATATTTAGTATAAAGCAAGAACTTTCTTTTGAATTCGCTGAATGGCTTCTAAGTCTATTTTCCACATCTAGACGGGTTTCAGAATTAGATTATTTATATCTCAAGTTACAGTGAGATCAAAATATATAATATATGTACATGAAATATATATTCCATCGGGAAGGCTTCAAAGTAAACCTACTTCTGTAAAATCATCTAAATCAC